TATATTAAAACGACTACATGTGTAGAAGCAACGCGTCGCTGTGTCTAGATGTTTTGATTGAAACACGTCGGCCGGGAAATCATAGTCACAGTTAGGGACAGGGAGGTCAGGAGGGACGGGGGCATCTTTGCTAGACGCGTCGGGGTATAATTCTCGAGGATGACCCCGTTTTCATCAAAACTCCTCCCAATACATTTCTTGTATCTAACAAAACGGTTGTAATTTAACAAACAAAAATCAAAGCATCACAAATTAATGTCAATGAGAACCATTTGCATTACAACAAATAAAATATAACGTACGTTTTGGTGCAAACTCTATCTTAGATGCAAACATGAAAACTATATAAAAACTATACTTTGATCGGTAAAAAATAAAATTTGGTACATCAACAGTGTGTCAATATATTTATTCACGTATAAAAGTTGAGATGCAAACTCAAACAAGCAAAATACATGGTAATCGTAATTCTAACTAGTCAATTAATCTTAACGTTGGCAACGAACTCATATTTTCCTCCATACCCTAACTACTCATTCAAATCACTTGATCCACCGTGGAGACCGGGTACGAGCTTCATTACCTTGACAAGACCGAGGAGAGGCTTCGTGGAAGGTAGGGAGGGGAACGACAAGGGAGGAAAATTCGTTGGCCGGCCGTTGGGGAGCCAAGAGGCAATGACGCGGCGGTGCGGGCTGGGAGGTGCGGCGGCGGGGGCGGGGCGGCACGAAGGTGGCTGCTGTGCGGCGCGGAGCGGAACAGAGAGGGAGGAAAGGGACTGGGCCACCGGCCTATATTTGCCTCTGCCGCGCCCTGGCGAGTGGCGTGTCACTGCCACGCTTTGATGCGTGGCGCGTCACAGCCGCGCCCTGATTGGTGGCGCGGCAGAGTTGGCCACGTCACCGGTCAGCGGCCCTGGTCGCTGCCACGTAGGCAGCCTCGCCGCGCCCCATGCATAGAGCGGCAGTATTAATTCGCCGCGCCGTGCAAATAGGCGCGGCTAAAAGTGTTAGATTTAAAGAAAAACAATAAACAATGTTAGTTTTAAAATTAGTTAAAAATATGTTAAAAAAAAAATCGCCAGCAGCAGATCAGATACGCTACGCGCGCAGCCGAAAGGGACGGAACGGGCGGGCCAGACACAGACAGGAAGGCCGAAGCCAAGCCGTGCGAGGGAGGGGAAAGCACCCGCTGCGGCATGTCCGCGTTGAGGCAAAAGGGCTTTCAAATCAAAGCAAGATGGGTTGGTTTGATGCTTCCGTCGATGTGAACGCGGCCGGCTGGAACCGCATCGGATGCTCCGCAGAGAAATCGGGCGGCGGAGGCGAGGCGGGAGGCAGCCAGGGGATCGGGTGGTGGAGCCGTGGTCGGCCTGAGATACGCTGCTGGTCCCTCTCCATGCAGCTCGCAAAGCGGCATGCTGCGCTTGCTGGCGGCTGGCGCCTGCGGCCGACGTTGGGTGAGGACTGACGAGGCAGGCAGGTTTCGCTGCTGCCCTCTGCCGCTGGCATCGCTTTGTTCTGGGTTTTACAGATAGAGCGTTTGGGCCGTTGACGACGCACGGCAGTTGTGCGGAAGAGAGAAAAAGAGGCAACTACGATAGAAGTTTGATCTAGATTATCGGAGAGACAGCAGGTCGTGACTCATGCATGATCAGGCGCTTTAATTAAACTTGCCACCGGATCGAAAAGGCGATGCCAAGTGCGATATCGTTCATCATCCTCATCATCATCGGCTAGAAGATAAGGATCGATTCAAATTCCATCCCATCATGCCCGATAATAAGCTAGTAAAGTATAAACGTATATATAGTAATGGTCCATCGCATACTCAGTGGTCAGTGCTCAACGAGCTAGAAGTATAGTCGATCTTTCCTTTTGGCTTTCAAAAATAGCAGCAGTAGTCTGATTGCACTTTTGATGATGCCCAAAAGGTTCAATCCAACCAGCTAATAACAGAGAGTAAAACGTTGCCAATTCTCGCTGCGTGCCCCATGACTCACATCGCAACCGTTTAGCCTCCCAAGTGAAAACAAGAATAATTTTCAGCTGCATGCAATGGGCTATTGGACTAGCTAGCCCGGGGTTAACGTTATCCCGAGTTTGGCCTGCCGACGTCCTTGCTGCCATCGCCATTTGGTGAGTAGTATACCCAGCACTCGTTCTTGCTCGCATAGAAATGGCGCCGTTTATCGCACGCGAGTTGCCAGCATAACCGCAGTGACGTGGATCGGTTTAGTACAGATTAGTACAAATGTCTAATACAGATTAGTACAAATTAAAACCCACCTTTTCGTTCCTGAATAAATTAATTTCTAAAGTTGTTTCAAACACTTATTAACATTTAACTGAACTTGTAAAAAAGCACAAGATTTATAACACCGAATTACTATCACTAGATAGATAGACCACGAATATATTTCTACAATATATTTATTTAGTATCATAAATATTATTGTTTTTCTAATAAGCATGGTCAAGCATAAAGAAGTTCAACTTAAGACAACTCAAAAAAATTATTTATTCAGGGTGAAAGGAGTTCTCCACATAACAGTCACCATACTGAATTAATTTATCCAAACACATCGTCCCATAAAATATATCATTCTTAAGTTAAATATTTTTTTAACTTTGATCAAATATATACAAGGAAATATTAACAGTTATGGTACATGATAAGTATCATTAAATTTTTATAATAAACTTATTTGAAGATACAAATGTTTCAATTTCTTTTACAAACCTAGTCAAACTTAATAAATTTTGACGCACAAAGCCTCATGTGACTTTCTTTATGGCGGAAGTTAAAGTGATCTAAAATTTAAAATTTAAATGACATTATTCCATTAGATTGACCTGACAAGTTAATGATGAAAGTGATCTAATATTTTCTAAAAATTTAGCCAACCTCATAAAAATGACATTATTCCATCAGACCACACAAGTTAAAGTGATCTAAAATTTAAATTTTTTACTTTCTTCAACTAAACTTTAGACAATACCTTAATCCCTTGTCCCTGCCTGAACAAGGGATTAAGGTAGCCGTGAGATTTACACAAACATAATGGGAGATACTAACCCCCGGACGTCCGGACAGAAGTGTGTGTCCAGATGCCCACGCAACCTCCTTCCGCCTGGCCCCTCCTCTCTCTCCGTGACAGCGAGTCCGGATGCCTGTGCACCCGCATGAACGCCGCGCTAACCACTCCTTCCCCTTGACCCCATCATCTCTCTTTACGCGGGCGGGACCCAAGAGCCGGCATGAGGACGAGCACGCCCCGTCCGCAGGATCCTAGGTGCACTACGCGCCCGGACCGCCGACACACGGCTCGCCGCGCCCCATCCCTCGGTGCCTAGGCCATGCCCCCATCATTCATTTGGAACATGAAACATTTGGATGCAACATACATCTGAAGCAGATAAAACATTTGGAACATACAATTGCAACATGTGTGTGAAACATATGCAACATCTGGATAAAACACTTGCAACTTGCAACATGAAAACACTTATTGCAACATACGACTGAAATAGTTAAAATATTTCGAACATACTCTTGCAATATATGTGTGAAACATGTACAACATGCAAATAAAAAATGCTTGCAACATACGTCTGAAACAGATGAAACATTTTGAACAAATGCTTGCAACAGGACTCTGAAGCTCTTGCAACATATGCAATATCCCGATATACTTTTGTAACATCCATATAAAACACTTTGCAACATATCTCTGAAACACTTGAAACATACATTTGCAACGTATGAAGGGGAGTCCGAGGCTGGTTGATTCCGGCCTCGGGGTGGGAGCCAGCGTCGCGTGAGCACCTCCAGCACGGGCCGCGCTCATGGGTGCCCTTGGCTCGGCCGAGACCGACCTGAGACGCGCGACGGCACCACCAGCACCACCAGAGGCGGGCAGCACAGGTGGGCGTGCGGCAGGTGGGACTGTGCGAGCATGGAGCGAGAGGCGCGGGTGGGGCATGCGACGGGTAGGAGCAAGGAGCGAACAGCACAGGATGGGGCACGTTGCGGAGAGATGGTTACGGCGGCGAATGCGGAGTGGGGCAGATGGACGTCCGCATGGCGCCGTGAAGCATTCGATGGGCGAGCAAGTGACGAGATATTTTTAAGAGAGAGATGTGGGAGACGTAGAGAAGAGGCAGATTTATTGGACCGGTAGCACGTAGGGCCTGAAAAGCGGCGTTCGATCGGACGGAGCCCGCCACTGAGCATTACCGAAACACAATTGCTCGTGGGCTTGTGGCCCGTCGCTGTTGGTGACCGAGGGGTGTGCCGCACAGACCTTGCACTGAAGCTTCAGGTAACCAGCACCAAACAACGGAGTGGTACAGAGTGGCACATCAGGCCAGCAGCCGTGGCTCCAGCAACCCGCCTGGAGCTAGCAGTTCCGATCAAGTCCTTGGTCTGCAAACAGAGACAGGTGATTGTTTCCAGCACCAGTTGTTGCTTTGCCGAGAATAATGCCGTTGATCGCTTGCAGATTTCGAGCGATGTAGCAAGGCATGATCGCATGACATGATTCATTGAGCTTTTTTTTTTTCACGAGCGTGTCCATGCGATACGTATTTCACTAAACAGAAATAGAGTTTGACCGGTTACAACATCCCCAAGTAATCCATAGATTACCGTAGAATGATGGAAGCCAACACAACCCAAATAAACCTAACTTAAATTACATTACATAAAAGTTGTGCAACCAACAGGCCGGTGCGAGCCTCATTCATTGAGCTTTTTACCCTTTTCGTTTGGAAATGATGGAGGGGTGTCTGACGCAACTGAAAGTACCGTATGATCGACCGGGAGGGAGACGCTTAGGGCGTGTTTGTTCCCTGGACGTTTCCAGCCTGGCCAGTCCAGGAGAGCCAGGCCACCATAGGACAGGCCCAGCAGGTGCAACACCTGCTGTTTGGCTCCACTTTTCAGTAGAGCCAGTCTCACGCCGGATTGTGTTTGTTTGCCTGGACTACCAGTCGTGGTCACCTTGCACCAACATAAGGTAGAGTTACTCTGCACTCTTTCATTGGGGCATTCCATCGAGCATTTGGCGGGCACGAACACCATCTCTTCTTCTGACAAGCACGAACACCATCTCTTCTTCTGACAAGCACACCTCCAACCACAGCAGAGCGCAGCAATGGCGGGCACGGAGATGAGCGCGCGTCGGGGCTTGCACGCCGGGTTGGGCGAGGTCTTGATGGGGAAGGATGCCTCCATGGCGATGCCGCAGAGGCCGCCGTTGCCGGTGCCGCGCTGCATCCGGATGTAGCCGCAGAGGCCGGTGACGATCCAGTAGGCCGTGCCGTCGTCGCTGACGCCGTAGCCGACCGCCGCGACGCCATGGTCCAGGTCCATGCCGTAGTTGCCGGTGAACACGTCCTCCGAGTAGAACTGGAACGCCTGGCCGCCCGCGTCGATGGCTACGGACACCGGCTGGTTCGCCACGGCCTTGGCCAGCGCGTCCTCGCTGTCGGTCGGCACCATCTGGTGGCCGTCGATCGACACGATCCGCCCGCGCCCTTCTTCGCCGCAAACACGACGCTCGTCGCCTACGCCTTCGGTTGCGAGATCTGGGCAGCTCAGGAGGCGAGACGGCGGCGGAGGGGCGAGCGTAGCGGTGCGCACGGGCTGCGCTCGCGAGCGCGGGTCGTTGCCGGGACAGGCCTCGCTCTCACCGTCGCCGCCATGGCCGTCGTTGCGCTCGTCGAGAAGAAGCGCCGTGAATAGAGCCGGAGGATGGGTGAGGAGATGGACAAGCACCGAAGGTAACCGGCCTGTGAACGGAGCGACCCGCGCCCGCGAGAAACGGAGGGGGAGCCTGGTTCCCAGCTGCTTTAGGCCCGTTCGGTTCGTTGGGATTGACCTCCGGCAACCATTCCTGACCGGATTCATTACTAAAGTTTATATAAGTATTTCACAGCCGGAATGCTTCTAGGGCCGGATTTACTCTAAACGAACGGAGCCTTAAGCAGCGTGCGGGCCAGGCCCAAAACGTCTTCAAGACAAACAATCAGTGGCGTCTGCATGTGCTGGGTCTGGCTCAGCTCCGTCCAGTAAAATAAACACGCCCTTAGTACACAGTTATGTACATCAGGTTTACCCCTGCACGCACACGCCTTTTCCAGACAAGCATAAATGTCTCCCTCCAGCTCTTTATCGGACGCTGACTGCCTATTTTCTACAGGAGATCTATTTTTTTCTACAGAAAAAGTGTATAATTTGATTTGTGACACGCTGATGCAGTTGTTGTTGCTGTAAAACATACGGACAGTTATGTACTAGTGGGTTTGTACGTGGACTGTTACTAAATTCTTAGGCTTTGACAGGATTATATATATATATGTGGGAGTTTTATGTTGTAATTATCAATATTAAGAGGAATACAGCTTGTTCGGCTGGCCATAAACGATCGTATATGATTGTGGATTATAAGCTGGAACAGTATTTTTCTCTCACACCAAATCAGCCAGCAGTAAATAATACACGATCCAGCCCAGCCAGCCGAATAGGCTGATAAAGAATAGTCTTCTTATCTTATATCTATTTGTTCTTCTACTTTCATATACGATGTTGATCATATGAGACAGATAGGGGAAGGTCCTAACCGCTGATGACGTGTTTTATAACGCATTATTAGCACGACAAGCTATACGTCGACATCGACATTGAAGCCGCCACCGATCTTCGACGTCGTCGCTCATGCTGACGTCCCTGCCGCGACGACTTCGACGACGTCGACGTCCCGACGTTGTTAGTGGAACGGATCTGCTACCTCTATCTGCTATCGATCTGCACTATATCGACATGCACCGTCGCTGTCAAGCAGGCAGTTCTACGACAATGCCAAACGTCCTACGCGGTATGTACCTACTAACCACTGCCCTACACGGCATATGTCGGGTTCATAAACCCAGGGTCCATCGCGGACCGGCTTCCCAATAAAGGCTCGGCCCAAGCAGACAACGCGCAGCTCATGGACCGGCCCAGGTATCTAAACGATAGGCCGGAAGGGTGATCCAGTCACCGACCGGAAGGTCTGGCCGAGGAGGAATGACGCCCATTTTCCGCCTCCGGCCCACCTCTCCGACCGGAGCGCTCGCTTCGGTCTCCAGCCCGCCTCCGGACGGCCTCTCCGACCGGAAGGCCTAGCCAAAGCACTACTTCCAACTCCGACCCGCGTCTCCGACCGGGGATGCGCCAAACCCCTGCTCACTGCTCTTCTCCGAACGGAGAAAGCAAGGCAGGGCGCACAAGTCAAATCACAATACCAGGGACCGTACCCTGCCCACCTGTCAGGCAGTACCATGCGACCCTCCTGACATGACAGAACCCAAACAGTATTGTAGGCGCCGACATTCTCCCCTATAGTATTATGGGCGCCATTAACTCCCATACGATAAGGCTCCTCCTACATGCCTCTGGGCATCGATAGTGTTGTGCGCGCCGACATTTACCGTACCGGACGAACATGGTAAATCCCCTTGCATGCCTCCAAGAATCAACAGTGTGGCAGGCGCCGACGTCTGCCATACCCAAAGAAGACAACCCAAACCTCTCACTGCATCTGACATCCAACAGTATTGTAGGCGCCTACCATCGTCCTGTACCCACCGACGTGGGCAACAAGGCTTAGTAGTATACGTACTCTCTCTCTCTCACTTGTAAGGTCATCATCTTCATCTATAAAAGGGGATACTCTCTCTCCCAATATTCAAGTTCATTAAGTCAATTCAGATTCATCGGATCAATCAAGTTCACTAATTCACAACCACAGAACCGCCAGGTTCGAACCACAAGCACACGCTTGAACACTTAGCTCATAGCGGGGCTCCCGTCACTCTCGGCCCTTCCGACCAGAGTCCAACCGGACCTCTTGTACCCCCATCTTCCTCCTTCTCGTTTGTAACCCCACTACAAACTTCGAGCACCTAGGCTCAGGAATAAAGTCACCGACCGACTCGAACTGGACGTAGGGCACGTTTCCTGAACCAGTATAAACCATGTGTCATTGAGTGCTAGGCCACCTCCGATCACAACGTACGGCAAAACTACAAATATTTACTTGTTGGTCACTTTTTGCACTGATAGTTGGCGCCGTTCGTGGGGAAGACGCTGTACGTTCAACACTTTTTGGTCATCGGATGACCCACTTTTCCGCCACCCTCTCCATGGCGGGCTCAAGCGATACGACTCGCTTCGGCTCACTGGAGTTTCCCGCACTCCCACCTGTTGGGATGTGGGTTCCACCCATCTCCGAGCCGTCATGGGCCTTCCACTTTAGAAGCCTGGACTTCGTCGCCGACCGGCTCGGTGTACTACACCTCCACGAGGAGGCACTCATTCCGGCGCCCATCGGAGGGGCACCCTCCATCGGCTCCGGAACACACGACGACTTCAAGGATGAGGCATCTACGCTTCATTCTGAGCAAACTCTCTGCTCAAACCCCGCTGTAAGTAATGTACATACTATTATTTACTTACTATTCTCTATTTTCCGCCAATTATCATGAGGGACCCAGTTGTCTCCCGCGGACGCGTACGCCTAGGGGCTCTGAAGGATGTCGGCGCCACCCCCTCTCACGTTCGAATTTATGGGGATGGCGAGCTATGCTCCCACCTGTTTCCTCGACCTCATGGATGACGATGTTGAGAGTGACGGCTCCAGCATCGGTGACATGGCGCCTAGCCACCGTCCGTCCCAGGAGTGCGCTATGGCGGACGCTCTAGGACAGCCACTAGCGGAAGTAGAGTCTTCGCAGACTCACGCCCTCCGGACCCTCGTGCGGAGACCCCCGCGCTCACATGGGAGCATGGCGAGGAGCTACAACAACAGCGGTTGAACCAGCCGCCGTCTGCACCAGCACGCTCGATGCCCCAAACTACGCTTCATGCGCATAAACCGGCGAGCGACGCCTAGGGTCACGCCTGTCGGGTCCAGCGCAACACCATGGTTAGGGGAACGATCCCCCATAGTTCGCTCGGGCCAATGAGAACATCGCCGCTGCGGCAATGCTTCTACACGGCCTTCCTGAGCCGAACGACCCTATGAATAGGCGATCCACCGAAACCTCCGGGCACTAGTGGAGACCGCCACCGTTCAATAGGCGGAAAGCTCCGCATCGCGACACCGACTCACGGCCTCTCTCCCCACTAGGGCGGCACAGGAAGCCACATCTCCGCCTCGTCTTGACTTGGCGACCGCTCTGAACCGACCGCCTGTACACGAGCGGTTCGGGCCGAACCAAGACGCTCACAGCAGCGACCAGAGTCCAAGCCCGGATGGCCTAGTACCACAGGCCTTTGTCCGATGCATCCAGAGAACGCCGCACCCGCAGCACTCCAACAGAGGCTGAGGCAAAGGCAAGGCCAAGCGCTAGGATCAGGACGAGGGCCCCTCCACGCAGAGGGGGGAAAAGAACAGAAAAGATCACCGCCGACTATCCAACTCCGCGTTGGTCGCCACGGCTGATCACATGAGCAAGCGGCCCCAGCAGGACCTTCTGGGCCACTTCCACGAGCTCATGGAGAGCCCGTGCACCAATCACGCCTACCCTGTCAAACACCTCTACAAGGACTGCGAGCTCCTCAAGCGCCTTCTGCGATAGGCCGGCAGGCCAAAGGAAGAAAAAGGCGAAGAAGCAGCGGCCAAGAAAGGGGCGTAGCGGGCAAGGATCTGAAAGACTAAAGGCCGAGGTGCTTTGATTGGACGCCTACCGACTGAAGGACGACAACGGCGACATTCTCACCAACGCTTGGAATAGCTATGTCGTTTTTCTTCCCCTAAAATTCAGTCTTACCATTGTTTACTTAACGTTTGCTCCTATAAAAGCGCCCCGACCTGAACATTTTTGGCCCGGGTCGCTCGGGGGCTCCACGAGGGTGCACTACTACCTCTCTCCTTTTGTTTACTATCATATGGTGAAACTCCGTCCTACCCGAACGAAAGGGTAGTTCGTTCCTTTAAATTGCCTCATGTAGCTTTGCTTTAAAATATTCCGACCGATCGCACCCCGCCTGTACCTACGGTTACGAGCAGCTAAGCCTCGCGGGCCACGCCCGGGCTCCTAAGGTTGCAGCCTACGGGACAAACGGGCAAGTACAAAAAAGAAAGAATAAAAAACAAAATTATGCTAAGGTAAAACTAAGGAACAAAAGGAACAAGCTTCCCCGAATGGAGTGACTCCATCATAAAAAATGAACCGATTGTAGTCATTGAGTACACAAGAACATTTACACAGGGGCTCTCCCATGAACTTAAACTTTTTACATCTACTAAACTACTTATACTTTACAAGCTATTGGGGCGGCTCGGTGGCATCTGCTGTCGGTGCGACCGGCGAAGGCGCGGGCTGCTCACTCCCCGGCGGGACCACATTCGGCTCAGTTGAAGGCGGGACGACGTCCACTTCCAACCCAGGCTCCGTGCCATCCGCAGGCTGGGCGACGTCCCCCCAACGCACGCTTCCGGCCATGTCCTCACGGCG